TAAAAGAGTAAGTAAAATAGAGGTTATTTTGTGGGATTTTTGATAAAAAGTTTCATCCCAAACTTCCTTTTGATGATTAAATTAAATGTTTCTCTTTTGGCTAAATTATTTTTTTTATCGCCGAGCATGATATAGATGTATTTTACTGGACTGGCAAGCGCAACCGCAGCCGAATTTGATTGATTATGCGGAAAATACGGCCTATATTTTGATTTTTTCATTGAGCTGCATGTGTGTCTCAGCTTGCAGCTTGGATTCTTGAATAAATTGGAAGCAGCAACAATTCACATGCTCTGGTAGCTAGTACCAGCATTTTAGACCTTTCCCACTTAAACCTGTCAATAAGGTGTTAGACAAAAATCTGCTCTTTCTACACTTGATACTGTGGGAAATGCGGATGTCTCGTAAGGAGAGAAGTGAGCTATTCCTTTGTTAGGAGCAACTTTCAGCTCCTTTTCGAATGCAGTAACCTGCGTCTTTGATCTTCTTTTCTTAGTTGTTTATCTTATTATGAGCAAAAAAGCCTTTTGCCCTTAGCGGCTTAATATAACTAAATAGCAAATTATGAGTCCCGTTTCTGGCATTCGTGACATTTCCATCCAGCTTAGCTTAAACTTCGTTGAGGAGAGGTGGGGTCTGGTGGTAATAGCTAGAATCAATCGTTTTTTGCTATAAGTTCTGTAAAATCTTGTTGCCATGTTGACAGACATACCTTAGTCATTTGGGCCAATAGATGAGACAAATGCTCACTGTCCAAGCCCAATTTTTCTATTTTCGTTTTCAGCAACTTTCAGATTTATAACCTGAGGCATGTATATGCACCTGTGAATTACTTGTGGACGAAAGTTCGTTGGCTTCATTTATGCATACATAGATGAGCATTCCAAGATCTTTAGCTGTTTCTGCTTGACGTGATTAAACCTCATTGTTTAGAATTGATACAGTTCCAACAAATGCAGGTAGAATGACGGCGCTGCAGAAGGGAACTTGGATATGCAAACGTGACAATGAGTGCCATGAAAATGAGCATATAGATAAATTTGTGCAGGATGAACTGCAAAGGATAAGCAAGAAAGATAAGCTTCTTAACCAAAATGAGAGACACAAGAAAAACAGTAAATCTGTATGGAAAGAAGAAAAAAAAGTATGAAATGGAGAGATTTTGACAGTAAAATTTGCGTAAAGTCACAGATTGAAGACCAAAAATACTGTTCTTAATTATATACTGTGTTTAGAACCAAAGTACCATGGAGAAGCATAAGAAAGATAAATAAAGCTAGGGTGGACATAGTCGATTTGTATGAATTTGTGGCACCTGCTTAGCAAATCCAGGTAAATGCCTTAATCAACGCATACAAGATTAGGAAACATCATTATGCGAGTGTTTTTAATCTATTGTTAGGTGTCATATCTCAAGGCATGTTATCATGGAAAGGGAAGCTAGATGTCTCTCACCGGCTGATATTAGGCAGCTGTCCATGAATCACAAGTATCATCAACTAGTTTTATAGTTTTACTATTTCCAAGGTGATGTGGTTCTTATCACTCACTCATTCACCAGGAGCCATGTTTATAGGATAATCTTGTGCTGCTCAAAGTAGTGGGCAGTCGTCGAGTTGTCATTAACACGGTGAAATGCCGTAGGCTCGGTGAAACGTCAATCTTTCTCACACAGGCGTGTGATGATAGTGGCAAGTTAGATTTTATCTTAGCTCTTTATTAAAGGGCACTTTTATTAAACAACCACCTAGCACCACGTACATACTCCGACTGCGGTGATAAGGACTGTTGGCGATTGTGGAAGTGAGGAAGGATTTTGGCCTAATTGCATGCGTGTACTTGTGAGACGTCTCCGTGTGCACTGAAACTTTTGGTTTGGCATAATACATCTGTTCCATATTTTCATAATTTGACATGGTGAATTAAAAGGAAATGGAGCCCTCAACGCTCTAATGGATTGAGAATGAGCTATCCTAATCACAGTTTTTCTGGACTATCAATTTAAAATAGCCGAGTTATATAAATTGTGAATTTTGTAGTTAACATGTTAGTGTCTAAAAAAATATAATGGCACACCATAGTAGGCGATGCTTCTATGTAGTAATTGTATTGTTTTAATGTACCTCTCAGGGAGGAGGCAACCTGGAAATTCGAATCTGGTGAGAAGGTCGCCGCCTTCCGTGCCCAGTTGTGATTGCGCTTCTTCCCCTCCCTAAAAGTTGTACTTTTCCTCCTAATCTTTCTTCCCTTATAAATATGTCAAAATCATAACAACCGGGCTGTTCTACGAACACTGGGAACAAGGAAGAGGAGACCGGTGAGTCTCGCCCTACATTTAATTCAGAGAGGAGATGCTTTTCTCACTTTATGACGGTCATTTACTCTTGGAATGATGAGAGCTTGTAGCTAACCAAAATAATGCTGAGACTGAACATAATTTTTTTGAATATAGTTTATTAAGTATTTTATCCATTTTTTGTAGTAATATGTTTAAATTTGAATTTAAATGGGGTATTACTAGAAAAACCTATTTCCTCTCCCTGCTTATACAAATAATTGTGTTCTTATTGTGCATGCCTTCCAATCTCTTTTTAGACGACTACCAGAAATATAATGAAAGGAAACAAGCTTTATAAACATTTCTTACGCCTGTTAATTCTGACCAAAATCGGCGTAAAAAGAGTAAACACATTTAATTCGAATGATATTGTTAAAATAAGCAAGTTACACATACTTTTGCTTGTCATCTAGACCGTTCATACTATGGTTTGTTGGTTCAATAACCTTACCGAAAATTATTGAGTAGAAACGATCTGGAGCCAATTTGACCTTTTGGTGATGAGTTAGACCGAAAATACGCCACAAGTTCATTTTGTGATGAATATACTTACGTGGAGAATCCATTGGTCATACTTGAAGAAAACAATGGTTATTGGTTCTGTCTCTAGGTCATCTGCGACCATAAAATCCATGACGAAGGCTCACAAAATCTAAAGTTGAAGTAATGTGATACTTGGGATGACATCAGCAACATAATGACTAAGGCGACTATGTGCTAAAGTACATGAGGCATCATGAGGCGTTAATTATTTGCATTAAGTAAATCAAAATCTCTTCTATTCAAAAAGTCCTTAATCTGGTATTAACCGAATTGTATTATTTTCTTCTCGACAAATTCGCTGCTCAAGTCACACATTTGTTACACGAGCTTCTTATCCCTCTGTGATAGTTGGTTGCTTCAAATTGTGCCTTATACAGAGTTATTGAGTTCCAAGAAAGAAATCTGCTCCAAGTGTTCATGATCCGGGATTGTTTGCATTTTTGATGTAAATCCTCCTCTGTGTGCCCTTATAGTCGAACTTTCCCGAGGATTTGATAAAGAACGTTTTTATCAAGTGTTTTGATGAAGCTTACATTTTGAGACTTGTAGCAGTCTACAAACCGTCTAGGTGCTCTTGAGGTAATAATGCTCAGTTTAAGGGAGGCTACAGAAGATTGCACATGTCAGGTGTGCGTCTCTGACCGAAATTCAGCTGAAATTGGTGACCGCTTTCACCGCATGATCTCATAGTTGGGTCAGTTTAGTGAAAATTATTTTTTGATTTATACTTCCTTCAAGATGCTGTATAAGGAGTATACAAAAGTACTTACTCTCCTGTCGTCGTGGCAAGTCCATCTTCATACCCGACTAAATAAATATTTACGTTATCGAAATTTTCCACGATCTTTAGTCATAAGGTTGTAATGTCATTGGTTGAACAAACCCAAAAACTGAAGATTTAATTTGCAATAATGAAGGATTGTCATAAAGGAAAAGTTTGAATGAGAAGTTTTTAAAGCAACCAATTTTATGAGTGAATTTCTGCAACGATGAATAATTATTTAAGTGAAACGAAAAGACCTAAAATGGCTTAATTGTGATAAGTAGTAGTACTTTAGAATCGACCAATCATCAAAAAGTAGAGAAAATATTATACGAAAATACTTTTACGAATTAGATTTACAAAGCATTAAAACGGTTGGGCAGTAGCAAGGTGGATTAGTTATCAATCATTTTTTCCCAACATGCCACGTATGAGCCCTCTTTGGCCTTGATAAATTGCTCAATTTCATGACTGATTTCCATAAAAGATGGTCGCCGTTCTGGATTCTCGTCCCAGCAGGATCTCATAATAGCATACACTGCTTCATCACACTCAAAGCCGTAACTTCGTGGCGAAGAAAGGCGTCCACCCTCCAAAAGAAACCTCAGCAATTGGGGATTATCATATTCTGGAATAAAATTGAGACGAAAACTCAGATAGAATGCGATAGCGAAACAACTTTGTGTGTTGAAAGTAAGTAATTTAAATTGTTTAATATAATCTACCCTCAAAAGGCACTTTTCCATAAGTTAGAACTTCGAACATAACGACGCCGAAGGACCAAACATCAGCTTTAGTATTTGGCTGGTAACCACGCCTCATTGCCTCTAAGGCCGTCCACCGAACTGGAATAGTATCTCAAAAAAAAAAACAAAAAATGCATGGTTTATCAGTTAACTAAACAAGTTGCATGTCTTTGGCCATTTATTACTAACGCTCAAGTACCTTGGTAAGGATATGCAACATCATGATAACCATATGCAAGCTCTATTCACACTAAGAATGATTGTTCGATGCAACGCAATCAAGACATCTCTTCCCTAGATTGAAAGCATAGTATGCTAGCTGGGAACCCGAAACTTGGACTACCTTTTCTTAAATCTGAATGTGAAGACTAGGGGAAACCCATTAATATGCCTCCATTTGGCGACTGATGAGATCCTTGCAATAGTCTATTTATTCTTAGTAGGACTTGTTTTTCATGCAACACTAACTTATCCATGTTTAGAATGAAGTCACAAACAACTTCGATTAGGACATTTAATGTATTAAAGTCGACTATCTATTTGCACCAGAAAATTGTGCAACTAGTCACCACAGTCTGATAAAGAATGTGCCATGTGTGTGAATTGCTCTTATTTTCTTATTTGAGTCCGGTTTCGCAAATATGCAACTCGTTCTTCATCACTTTTTAGTAACTGATCACCAAAGGATTGGTTGGGTCGACAACAATGGTGCAGATGTAGGCTGGTTGTAGTCCAACCATATTTGCTTTTTTGGTTTTTGATCATTAGTTGAAGTGACCTAAATTAGCTGCTCTGAAGTGACGCACTTTCATCTAAGACTTTGGCTGCATGTATGTTAATGCAGTACTAAAGGCGACGGAAGTTCAAGCCACTTTGCAATGGGTAGGTGTGATGTTTCTCTGATACGTAGAGTAAGAAAAAACTCAAACTTACCTTTTTTAAGAGTCTGATTGAAATCCAGGATTTTGGTTAATCCAAAGTCGGCGATCTTCACAGAACCATCCTCATCAACAAGCACGTTGGCTGCTCGTAGATCTCTGTGCACCACTCCTACTTTCTCTAGGTACACCATACCCTTCACGATCTAGACGTCCAGCCAACAGATAAAAAAATATAGGTCTATCATTTCTGACTGGCCGACCGACCTACTGACTGACCCAACGCGTGTGTACCGTTAGAGGGTCTTCGCTTTATACGGGACGTAAGTTCTTATTGAAGAAATTTATGCAGTTGTAGCAATGGCAAGGTAATCTCACTTTAAAATATATGTGATAAAGAATTATTCAACTACCTCCCCCTAGAATTAAAAAGTCCCCATCTCAAGCGCCCTCTATTGTCGAAATTGGTCGAATTCGCCTCCCAAAACAATAGCGAATGTGAGATGTTAGAGCAGTTTAGCTTGTGAGATTCGTGAATGTGCTTAAAGTAGTCACGCAATGATCATGCACCAAGTTGACGTATAAAGTACGTCAAATGAACAGATCGTGTGGGAGGAGTGCCCCTGTAATTTTAGCTGGCTGATTCAACGCATCTTAAGACAACTTTGTAACTGCTACGGTCGAAAAGTGGCGATGACAAAAGCAAAATAACAAGATGAGAATCACCCCAATATTTATGAGTCACATGAGTTTCTCCAACGTATATCTGCGGCGCATCTGCCATTACTGTCCTCGTCTGTATAAATTATCAGATTAAAATAGATTTATCCGAGGTTTGACAATTTTTCCCCACAAATATATACGTGCCTGTCTAGTAGTGCGTGCACATGTGCGTAATCTGCATGGCATCGATGTCTGCTACCGTCACTTTAGTACTTACCCCACAGTTGTGATACTTACAAAAGGCATTTGCCATGAGATTACTTACTGCAGTGCTTAGGCTTACTCGCTATATATCCTACCTCTGTGAAATTTATGTGCAGTGGTGTAACCATTCCACGTGTATACCACAATTTTGCAATATTTAACTTATAAAACCCCCTATCTGCATTGCCCTACTATGTAAATTGTTAGTCCAGAGATACGACCAATAATGGCAAGAAGATAGATTCGTTTAATCATTCAGACAGCCTATTGCTAACTAAATGGAGTAATAAAGATATTTTTCGCACAATTTTCTATGCACAAGGTGTTAGAAGGCAAAGGTTCAGTAAAAGTGCCCTTCAGTAAGGCCTCAGGATGGAGTCCGGTTTTCCATTATCATCATGTGTGTGAGGGAAATGTGCTCCAATGACTACCCACTAGATGCCCGTTACTTTGAGCAACGCAAGACTTTCCAATTTACACTGATCCTTATGGTTGACTGAATGATGGGAAGTAAATCACCTTGTCAGGTGTTTAAAATCACAAAACTGGTTGGTTATACATGTGAGTTGACGTTAGTTTTTTAGTATCTGCAATGCGTGCCATCCTGCTTCCATTCTAAGGACGTCAGAGAGCAAATAAGTAGAGGGTGAGGCTGATGCGTACTACGATTTGAAAGTGTTTCGTCATACAAGCCGATTCAGCCTCCTAGTATCACTGTTTAAAAACTTGGACCATCCATTTGTAAACCTTTTGGCAGTTAAGAGCCAAAAATCAGGACCTACTCTTCTTTTTCATCTGATTTATGTTGTTAGGCAAGATAAGAAGTGGCAAAAATGTTTGGAACTTCCTACTACTTACTGTGTGGTAAGGGGCGGTTTGTGCTGTGCAAGAAGGTGAAATGGGAAAAGGGTAAGAGGGTGATAGTGGACACTAACCTGATCAATAATGCTGATGAGTTGGCGATATTCGAGGCGGTGTCCCTCGGGAGTCCTAAGGTAGTCTAGAAGAGCACCATTGGCCATAAACTCGGTAATGATGAGGACTCGTTTATCGGGTGTGTCACAGCAGAAGCCGAGAAAGCGCAAGATACGTTGATGTGAAAGCTTGTGCATCACCTCTGCCTCCGCACGGAAGGCTTGGTCGTTCTCACTGATGAGGCTCTTCTTCACTGCTACTTCCATGCTGAGTATATGACCCAGGTAGACCACACCAAAGTTGCCTCTTCCCAGCTCCTTCTCTAGCTTTAAGTCATCATAGTGGATAAAGCAATCCTCAAAGCTCAACGGTGGCAAAACTCTTCGTGGACGCGCTTCAATCAGACCCACCTCACCGTCGATGGATTCTGCTATGGGAGAGAAAAAGAGTGGAAAGGGGGAGAGAATTGCTGAAAAAAATGGTCCATTTCAATCACATTCCCCCACTTTCCAATAGAACGTGTCGGGTATAATAATGAAACATAATTACCGAATGCCATTCATTATTCCTGCAAAAAGCGTCTTCCGTCACTCCTTCTAGCTAGTGACAGGGAGAAAACAAGCTGCCGACTGCCGTTACAAACAAGATTTTGCAAAAAGATGACAGAACTATGCTGATATATATAGAAACGATATTCTGACCATTTTTGTGGCTCCTTTCAAGGCTATTACGATGGTGAACTTTCATTCTGAGGTGGATATTTCGTGTCCAGTGCTTTGTTTACATAAATTTTGAACTACGAAAAGAAATATATATATGTGGACTCTAAATGATTACCTACTCTCATTGCACTACCTAGTCGCCGGCGATTTTTACAACACCAAATATTCCGCATGTGTCCATACTCGATGATGCAGATTTTCTGTTAATCGAAATGTTTACTAGCCAGAATTTCTCAACCAAAGCATCAAATGATGTTATACAAGGTGAATTGGGTCCATCCGAAACCAATATGGAAGAATTAATCTTGCTTATTTTTGCAAATAATTCATGGCATCACAAACGATAACAATCAAAGGTGTGCTCGCTCGACCTCAAAAAAGTTGTAATTTTACATGCAAAGTTGCTAAATATAGACAAAACTATCATTTTGGTTCGGATAATCAGACTTGCCTTTCCTAAGGCCGTAGTATGGAACAAATACCAATGATAATTTTGATAGAAGCTATTATATATTGCAGGCTTTAAAGATATAATGACTGAATGGCATTGGAATAGGTAAATAATTACCCAACTTTGCATTGCGATTAAGTACTTTACTTACTTAAAGACCGTGGAAGGGGATACAATGCACCTTTTAAAATGAAACCGGATCACGTAATGATATTTCCAGATAAACACCAAAATTGAACAGCAAAATGACATTTAGACAATATTGAATCTAAAAACAAAATCAGTTATGACATTTAAGTACGTTAAAGACTTTCTAGTCCATGGAAATCCCAAAGCTGTATTTTATAAGGAATACTAAATCACCCTTAAAAATTTAAAAGAAATCTTTGATACGTATTGTATAGAGAGAAAAATCAACACCAACAAGTCTTCATTTGATTCCAAACACAGCAAAAAGTAAAAGTGGATTAATAAGTTCTCTCTTTTGGATATGCTCATCCATTCAAAGGCCCATACAGTTATGACACAGAACCCCTAGATGTGATACGGTTGCATACAAGAGCTCTATAAAGTGAGTGCAAAGCTCAAAAAGTATTTGCAGCGATGGCTTTTGGAGCGGTGCCTCGTATTCCAAATGTAGCATCACCCATCATACCTAGTCAAAATCAGTACCCTCTAGTACGGCTTGTTTAAAATGATTCCAAAATTGCACTAGCTTGATTTAACGACAATAAAGCGCGACATAACTTCCCAATGCTGCAAACTTGGCCAATATTTAATGGTAAAAATAAAGGTAATTTTATTTCGGGGTTGGGAAAATTATTGCAGGTAGTTTAAATAAAATCATGTAAGCTTGAAGCACTGCCGAATTCCAAATTATACTTTAAAGAGATTAATGGGATATGCAGATTACCAGGCAAGTAAGTCTTGTCCACTTTAACATGAGAAGTGAGTCCTATGCAAGAGCGAAATCTAATAAGCTTTCGTGTACTAAATTAATCATTAGCATGCTTGGGCTACATTCATCATTAGATCATATTAGCAGGTGTATCTAAAGCTAATCCACAAAATGTTGGTGAAGCATTACAAAAAATTCTATATTTCATATCCTGCATTCATTCAAATTCAAAAATATTTGTCTAGGCCTTTATGGCATTAGTTTTGTCTTCCTATTTTTAAATATAGCGACTTACAATGGTAGTACCTGATCATTTCTTCTAAAGAAGGAAACTGAATACTCGAACAGAGGTAAAAACTCTTTGCTTTTTCGTCAAAATAAACTCGAAAATGCTTAATTTTGACTCCATTAGCCCGAACGGAAAGGGAATATGGGTTGTCGGCACCTGAAAATGGCAATACAGACATAAAAGCATGGCAATTTCATTGGTTTGATTTAACGTAAGGAGAATCCCTTGAGACAAATGGGAACATCCATAAAAACCTTATTTTACTTATTTGTTGCCTTTTAATTCTTAAATCTAAATAATTGAGAGTGTATTTTAGAATTTTATAACACATCGTGACTATTTTGTAAAACGTACTACAATTAATGGCTTTTGTCATTTGCTCAACAAAATGAATACGGATAGGTTTATTTTGTCACTAGTTACAAAGTTTTCTAAAAAAATTAAAAATTTCGCTAGCTTTAAAAATGATTTTTCAACCTTCTAAAACATTTCAAAATTGCAAAAGGGAGATTTGAGAAAGCACTTACTCCCACATGGTCTAAGGATATAAGTGCCGGGTTGGACTCCGGGCATAAGAAGCTTGCGTTCTGCACTTATACGATCAATATCAAACCAGGCTTCGGAAACAATTGACAGGGACTTATTAGATGTGACATGGCTGAAAGGAATAAGGCCTTGCCGTTTTGTTGGTAAATTAGATGCCATCCGCCGATCATGCGAAGTTTCAACCACATTAAGAAGGTCACCGACGATGAAGCTAGGTGTAGCAGATTGTGTGGTTGTGCATTTGTAAAGAGCTGTAGTCGTAAATGAGTTCGAAGATTCTTTTGGTTGGGAACATGGTGGTTTCAGATCTTCATGCAGATTCGAAGACCATCTGGGTGCTTGCGGTGGATAAGTTTGCGGAGGTACATCTTTGCCTTCGTTTCGTTTACGCAGCTTATGAATAATTTTGTGATAAAACATTTTTGGTGGCTAAAAAATACAAGTCCATATAATTTATAGATTTACCTAAAGTTGGTTTAGGAATTAACAAAAGCAAGGATGTAAAAGTTGGTGTAAGGTTTATGATGTCCAAAAACGAGCTCCCCAGTCTTTATGGATCTGAATAGAGGCATAATGATACGCAGCCTTATTTACCGGTTCCTTTACAAACTACTAAGGGCAAAACTCTACTCATGCTGTTTTGCGCTATTATCTTATCGGAGGGGATAGCCATATTAGTCAAGCAAGCAAAACCTTGCTGATAAGCGCTACGTCAGAATCCTAAAAACTAGAGGCATTGCTATAATGGCGTAAGCCTGAAATTAAAAATACACACGCGTTATCCAAAAAACAGTAGACTAATATAAGAACACTAAAACACACTTGTTGAAATCTCGACGAAGCTCAACAACCTTGAGAAACATCCATTTAGTGAATATAAACTAGAAAAGGGTCTAAAAACCCTTAACATTAAGGATCAATGTCTTTTAAGAGCAAAAATTGCAATAAAGACCCTTTGAAAGCATTTACTTCCATCACTTTGCTCAGAAGAATCACTCTTTTCTTAACGAAGTATTCACCTAAATTAAGAATGCCTTGTATTGTATAGTGAATCAGATTTATTAAATCCATGCATAATGCTAAATAAAACTAATTGTTCAAAACTAGTAGGGGAAAGAATTGCTTTCGTTAGGTAAAAAAATTGTTCATGGCTACAAAATGCATTTCCGACATTTGCACAAACATGTAATTCGTACTAATACATAAACCAAGCTTTTGTAACCATTTAGAGAGATTTAGTGAAATTGCAAGATGTCAGATGTGGCTCTGGGAGGGAAACATAAATTCAAGCCCACTGCTTTCGAGGTTAATGTCCGAGTACACCCAATATTGACTAATAGCATGTCTGTTTACCTTTTAAAACACGGATTAATTTCCTTTCTTGAATAATTTGTTAATGAAAAATGTGTAACAAATATGTAGTGCCTTAAGTATTTGGTTTACTCGCAGTCTCCGTAACTAGCCAATTTTTTGGCCCTACTGAGTACCTTCTCCAGGTGCCTTATTTTATGTTGTATACGTGTACATATTCTTTGAAAACGATCTTGGAAAGCCTCATTTAGGTTGCTACCTCTATTTAACATCCATTACATTAGTCACGGTATGAGACTATAAATACAAAAAAAGAAGAGAAGAGGGTGATACCAGCAATCAAACTACCACGTACAATCAATCTCGAATTACCAACTCAGAACTGGCAAACATTCGCCACAAACTCATACGTTTTGAACGCTTTTATTCTCTCGCATCTTCTTTTTTCGAACCACATAAAACTAGTCTTTTACAGTATTTTGGTCCTCAAATTACGCATGTATGCATGTATGCAGATACTTCCCTATTCTAGATTCATATCTATTTATTAGTTTATTTATATTACGCAGGTTTATTATTTCACTTTGTGTGCCTTTTATTTGCTTCAAACGTTTAACTTTATTGTTTGTCATTTATAGTTCCCATTGCATAAATGTACCATATGCTCATTCCCAAGCAATCATTGTCCCGTTCGCATATCCAATAGTTCCCCTGCAGCGCCGATTTCTGTCTGTAGTCTTGGGAACTACTTAACATGCAAATAATGAGGTCTCGCCAACTCACCCCGAAATGGCTACATATTTTGTAGTGGTCGTTGCGACGCGCGCATGAATGAAGCCAAAAAAGTTTCATCCATAAATAATTCAGAGGTGCATATATACACGCCTCGAGTTACACTTTTGGAAGTAGTATGGGAAACAAGAATGGACTATAGGAAGATATGAAGTTATCAATACTTAAGTCGCTAGGTTTCCTACCTTCAGAGAAGCCTATAGTTGACCATATGCAAAGAAAATGAAATTCATTTTTTGCGTCAAAAGGCTTCCAATTTAGTAGAACAAACAAGAACATATTTGAACGATGAGAAAAAGGAAACTGTAACACCTGGTGCAGAAGTCCCTTTTCATTTAATTTAAAGCAGCCTTACAGTAGGCACATCAGAAGTTCCACTTTTGCCACTACTGTAACTGGTGCTAACATTGCACTCACCCTGGCTCTTAATCGAGTGACCATGAAAATAACTCACACTTTAAAAATCCAGCAGTTGGAGTGGTCGAGAAGACAATGCAAGCAATTAGGCGTACTAAAGAAATGCAAGGTAATCAAGTAAAGTAGATGGTATGCCAAAGGGTACAATTGCTGAACTACCAGTTTATGAGCGTGTCCTCGGTTGGTAACAGTCGCAAATTGTTCCGAATCAGCTAATAATTTTCTATGAGCAAATGCAAGGGAAGCCTCTGAATTGGCTTAAATTATTTGAGAAGATTTAAATAAGGATTTTGACTAATAGTGATGTGCTGAGTACTATAAATTACTAACATGAGGGGTACTTAGCCAAACCCTGGGTACAAAATTACACTCTCTTTGGCAAATTCATGGTTAAATACAGATGTCTATTAATAGAACAATCATTTACAATGGCTAATTAATCGCCGAAATATGTTTACATTGTCTAATTGCATCCATCTTGTCATGTTGTCTTGAATACCTTCCTTTTGATATCACTAGTCGAAGAAATTGCCAAAAAATGAGTTTTTAAGTGAAATTCATCTCTAATTGACAGGAATCTTGCAAATGCAGAGGTCATTTTTTACTTAAGCCAACCCGCTGTTTTCCACTTCGCTACTTAACATTTTAAGTAGTTGCCAAAAAATACAATTTTGTAAAGATATGAAAAACTGGACCGACTTGTAAGAGGAAACGACAGTTCACGCAACTTATAATTATTTCAAAATGGATTACATGCCCACAGCTAGGGTGGGGTCGTACTCTCCACTTGCTTGCATCCCTACACTTCACTCAACAAGCTTCAATTTTGCAAAAATCACAGCTCTATTAAAAAAAAAATGTCGCCCTTTGATGCAGACAAATAGTTACTTTTCAACACTACTTCGGGCTTCTCACATAGTGGCAATTTGAACCAAGTGAAAAATGGAACTTCTAGGGGCACTTGTAATCCACTAGAGTGGCAGAGATTTTGTCTCTAATATGAGGTGAGGCTACTCAATGCTCGGGATGGTAATAGCCATTAAAGCATCATCCTGTGACGGAAGCTCAAACCCTTGCCATACACTGGTAGTGTATGATTCTATTGTTGTATCAAGCAGTAATTAATGATCCGCAATATGTTCTAGGTTATTGTTGTGGAAATAATATCCACAGGAAGAATTAGGAGATGTTCTTTTAAGTGTTTAGTTTGGACGACTCCAACTGGCAAACTTTGGGATGGTAAAGTGGATCCTAGTTACCATTTATTTTACTACTTTTTTTCCACTGACATCATTTTTGATGGAAACTCTCATTACTCCTGGTAGTTACTAAATAAGGCGATATTTGAAAGTAAACTCGACCAACTTCCGTACGCATTAAGGAAATAAAATGACTCAAGTGAATGGTTAAGTCACCTAACAACATATAGGGAAGGCTTCTTATCCTATCAAAATGTTGACAAATGTCATATTCTTGCTTTAAGTTAATAATGAACAAATAGTTTCAAAAATACTTTTAATAACAGTGACGAATGCCTTCATTGAGAACGTCTGCCTTGTGGTGACTGTTTCGGACATTGGCAAACACATCAAAGGCCTAAACGGAGGTGGTGTAGAACCGTTAGCTTTGGATGCATCATTCACGACTAATACATTACACGACCAGAAAAAACTTTAACCCATCGTCTTCAGGTTTTATTTGACTGCATTTCTCACAGTATTCACCCACACGATTATCACAATGCCATAATCTGGGTTTGATTAGATATGGTCAAAATTTGTCGTCATGTCTTGTCAGTGGCTGGCGGAGTAACAAGCACTTAGCAATTAGTATCAATCCTGACACTACTGCATGCCTTAATCTGCGTGTTAATCATGAAGCCTGCCCCAGTCAAAGCACAGATTTGGCTTCTTCATCACCAAGGTGCAGCACACTTATCTAAAAAAGAATGAGATTGTGAATAAACCAGCGTAGGGGATCAACAAGTGGGTAATTTTCAAAAAATGATTAGTTTTTACTGATGGCAACCGTAGTTCTAGTTTAGCAGTTGGCTCATCAACCAAGCAGACTTTGGTGGGGTTTGCCTATTAATACACTTAAAGAGCAGCCATTACCAACTTGTGCTTTTTTCACTTTTCTTTAAACCATCTTTGGTATGCGCCTTGTATTTAGTGAGCTATTGCAGGTTTTGTTCCAAAAGCTTAGCTTCGTGCTTAATACCTCAACACTTTATGACTTTTTAACGAAGGAACAGCGTACCAAGGCGCTTGTCCGTGCATTGTCCGTTATTAGTATCGAACCCCAAAGTGGGATTGTTAACGAATTCAACTACTTGATGTAAAAACTAATTCTGATTGATGGATTTTATCAGTGGCCCAACTGTCTTTAAAATTACGTTCTCATCAGCGCTCTCAACAAACCGACATGATGTCAATGGCATTTCTTTGAATCATTGGGATTTTACATCATTCTGCCATATAAAGTGACAGTAAGCGTCAGTCTTGTCTATCGGCCCAGGTCACCGAATTATCACTATCAACGTAGCAACAAAAAATCATAGAATTAACAGCAAAGACGACCGATTTCAGCTAACAAGACTTCACCTCGCCTTTCTTTTACTAAGCTGGAGTTGAGATGGCTGGCAATGCCAATAATGTCAAAAATACATGTCTCACAATTTGTCACGGGCTCATTATGGACCTTCTCCCATTAACCATTGGAAAAAAAGCAATTTTTGCCTGTAATAGAGTAAGCAACTGACAGAAGACGATTAAAGACGCAAATTTTTACCGTTTTAAGGGAGAACTTAAAGTTGCTCTAGACGAAGGAACAGCTCACGTCCCTCCTAAAGAGACAACGCAGCCTTAACGGTAGCACGAGCAGACCTGTACCTCGCATCTTGCTGGTAGTTTTAAGCTCGATAGACCTGGATTGTTGATGCTTGCTGCCAGAGCATGAGTTACCACTGCCGCAGAGGTGTTACTTCAAATTTATTCAAGAATATGAGCTGTAAATGGAGCCGGACATGTAATTTGATTAAAAACCCCAAAAATATGTCTCGTATTTATTACTCTACAAATCAAATGGAAATTTGCTTTTGCTCACGAGTCACGGACAAAGCTTGTATATCCTGTCTGGTGACAAAGGAAAGAAAAAGCCGTCTTCAAGCTCCTTAACAAATATTCCTTCTAATCCTAGAATTTTACGAAATTCCTAACGATCGCTCCATTTGGCGAAAATTTAGTTCAAATTGTGCGAAAACATAATCCGCTAACACAGGAATGACCGCTGTTTATCCACTCTGCAAAACAATTTCGAAACAATCAGGATCTCGATTCTTGAGAAAGGACAACCATCTGTCCATTAGTCATGTTGTTAAGCAGCCAAGCGTCCCGCTATTGTAGGATTTAGTACCTTAACTCTCCCTTGCATACCAGCTGTTTTCGCCTAGTCCTTATGAAGGTTATCATCATTACTCGTTATTTCAGCAGGCATCGACTGGATATGTACACGATAGTGTGCTCCTACTTTAGGGGGTAGGGAGTTCCGCCAACTCCTACACAGTAAAGTACATAATATAACAACATTACGGCTTTTAACTCCCACTTCCAAATTCATTTGAGCACACTTTGTGATACCAAAGACAGGACCTTAGATTTGTCGAAGCAAATAATTTTTATAACCTTCCTCAATATGATGTCTGAGCATTACTTCACCAATATGCAACATGCGCTACTTTGACAGCTTAGTAAAATTGGCTTTAACATGCAGTGCCCCAATATACTCCCTGAATTTAATGCAATAAACCACGTGGATGGGCTCGTAGTATTGTTTAGTGAACCCTTTACAAATGTTGTTCCCACTGTAGAGGGACTTCTTAAATTTAGTGGCGATACCACATTTTCGCAAATTCATCTACACAGATATAATTGGTTTGGGAAGGGGTGAATTCTCTTTCCAAGAACTGTTACCTTAGCGTAATACGCATAGTTCAAAATATTGTCAAGATTGAATACTGAAACACATAGGTAGCTATGGAGGGAAAGAGAGCGGGAGTGCGAAAAAGGGAAAGGAGGAGGGAATTTTCCCGAGATTTCAGTGGCCATTATGATAACTTCGTTAAAAGTTGATGTTCCCTTATTTTCGCCTAAAATACATCCTTTCCAAATATTGGTACTTCAAATTAACTAAGGAACCTTCCTAATTTGATGGAATTATTGGAGCACATTTATGGAAACCATCGATCGGACTATTGGCCAATCAGAAATACGGAAATACTACCCAATAACGTGCCTAACCGTCTTGTATATGAGATCTACCATGTATTGCACGTAGCATCTGTTGACGACAACAGGATGAAGTGAGTCAGTTACTTTGCTTATTCTTAGTTTTGGGGACAAATTTCCTTACGCGGACTATGCCTTTGGTAACTCGAGCGAACAATCGAGTGACCTGAACAAACAGCAACGGGAGAGGTGAGTTGTGCGTAAAGGTAAAAGTGTAGGACTCAGCAGTCGGGTGAACTTTTGCTTTCATAAGATCATTTAAGGGTCAGCTATCGAGGCAGGCAATGCTGTCCTGTATCCAAAGCATGATTTCTCCTGTTTTACTGTGTTTGCAGTGCGTCTAATACTGGAACTAATACGGATGTTAGGAGTGTTCAAAACCCAACCTCAAGCGAAGGGTATGCCAGTTCGACATAAATGCTTCATTTCAATCCTTTTTCTTCATATCGACTACCACTAGCAGTGGTAGATAACCCAATTTCACCGCTTAAGTAGCACCATTTTAAAATGTATTATTCTCTTTAACAGCCATCACTTGTGTTTTGAGTTAAATTATTTTCCATTTCATTCCCCAAAATATATGCAATAGGGAAGATGTTTTACAGTTCGCATCTTTGACCCATTTGCCAAAGAGAATAATGGCATTCATCTCCATTCAGTGCCGTTAAGCATCCCTAAGTTATCCACCTAATTTAATCACTTTGAGGGCCCCAGCTGCGAACACTGGCAGTGACAGATATCCCGATTTCTCATTAGGCGGCAAATAAGTCCACCCATTGCAACCCCCTTTCTAAGTAGTATCTTTAACAAAGTGCCATTTTCTAGCACACCCATTACACGCGCCTTTTTTTTCCAATTTTTCTCTAGCGCATTAAAGCCGGGAGAACCGGATGATCGTAATTACCTTTTACAAAGAAAGCGAGGGTACACGTGTCACAAATTTACTTGCTTAATGCTTTATTGCCTTTACAATGGCACTAACTTAATTGTAAAGGTGTTGTATTAAGGTATTATTGAAACATTTTTTCGGTTTTAATTGACCTCAGGACATCGAACTCGGAAGCAAACACTCGCTGTCTCAACCCAGACTTGCTGAATGCCATCTCATCTGCAGAGTAAGTTATACCATGTTTCCTTACCCGTTTACTGTAGGCAATCCGCAATGGATGATTATTCCCCCTCTTTTTTTTTTAAATTTAGAACACCCCCTGAGGCGCAGCAGGAGGATTTATTGCACACACCGGACAAACGTAAGATGCATTTTTAAATTCGTTTCTCGAAAAATGGACAGGCTTACTCGTATTTCCATTTACAAGGTTTGTTACACGTAATTTTAGCGGTGGTCTGGAAAGATAGCCCACACAACGCTCCATTGCGAGAATCAAAACCACGGCGCGCAAAATGTTCTTCCACTCCAAGACAGCTATTTCCCTTGGACAATCCTTGAGTGTGCGTGCAGTACTGCAACATTTTCATCCTAAACTTACTAATCTGTATAAGTATTCTTTCTACGCACTATGATGCGGATCAACATGTCATTTGAAATAAACCTACCAGCGTGTTTCAGGATGGTCATTTTATGTGGGTTTA